GAAAGGCTTGGTCCGGTTGCCTATAGAGTTGCTTTGCCACCGGGATTCGAACAGATCCACAATGTGTTTCATGTGTCAATGTTGAGGGGTTACCTCCGAGACCCGCTCCATGTGATTGATTATCACCGGGTAGCTTTGGATGAAAATATGGAATACGCCGAATGGCCGGAACGAATTGTTGACCGGCAAGTGAAACAATTGAGAAGTAAGTCCAACCCAATGGTGAAAGTGGAATGGAAAGAACACTATGGGATGGATGCTACATGGGAAAAAGAGGAGGAAATGTGACTACGCTACCCACATTTGTTTCCCGACGAAGGTAAATTAAGTTTGGAGGACCAAACTTCCTAAAGGGGGGAAGACTGTGATATCCATGTTCCGCAATGTATTAATTAGTCCTTAATATGAGCATGATTATGTGTGTAAATATGATTTTGTGGGCCATTATGTGAATATATGTGGTTTTGAATTTCTATCTTTTCACCGTAGGAATATCTGTTTGATTATCTGCTTTGGGAATTAAATTGAAAACCCTATCGGCCACCGAAACCAAAATTGATTACACCATTGTGATTGGCATAATTTTTAGAGCCTACGGTGAAGTTTAATTAGAAACTGATTCAGATCAAATTAATTTGATTAAATTAATGAATTAGTGCCCAATTGTTATTATTATTATAATAAAATTAGTGGAGTTTGTTGTAAAAAGGCACTACACCTCAATTCTTCTCCTTAGTTGCATTTTGGCTGATCTTGGACTCAAAATTAGAGAGAGGGCCGGCTATAGAGAGGGAGAAAGAAGGATTGTGCAATTTTGGTCTTGAGGCTTGGAAATTTGAAGTCTAACTCAAGATTTGATCTTAAATTGGGAAGATTAAGGCTCCTAGGTGAGTGAATTTGTGTATCTTAGTTTGTAATCCTTGTGAATTCAAGTTGAATGTTGATAAGGAACATAAAATGAATTGATCATGATGAATCAAGTTGGCCTGTTGATTTGGTAGTCTATATGCACATGCATGTGAGAAAGTACCTTGAAATTGCATGTTTGAACATAAAATATATATAATCCATGTGCAATTTTAATTGAAACTCATGTTTTGGTCACCTCTTCACCAATTAAGTTGTGAATGATGAGCATCTCCCAAATGCATGTACAAATCATGGGGGTGTAAGGCTTGAATGTTTGAATTTGAGCATGTTGGTGTCGAGTTTGAGGTAATTTGAGTCATGCATGTGATTAAATTGTGAAATTGAGCTCCATTGTATTGTAATTGGGTGTTGGTATCATGTTAGCATATGATTATGTAAAGTTTGAGCCAAAAACATGCATTTGGAGCCTTTGAACATCGAATTGAAGCTCAAGAACTTGATCTGGAAATTCCAGAATTTTGATGTCCGCTTGAGCGGGGAAACCGCCGCTCGAGTGTGGAATTCGTGCTCCCAGCATATTTTGCAGACATGACTCCCGCTCGAGCGAGGGAAGTTCACGCTCGAGTAGGGAGCCATGTAGAGAGGCCTTCCGATCGAGCGCCAGAATGCACGCTCGAGCGTAAATTCGTTTCAACCAGCACTTTTGCAGGCCTTAAGGGTCCGCTCGAGCGAGGAAGTCCATGCTCGAGTGGGGACCCTGTTTTTTGAAATTTTAAAAATGCATTCTGTGTTCCGTTTTCCGTTCCCCTTCACTTCTAAGCACTCTTAGGCATACATTGAGCATTGTAATTGAATTAAAGAGATAAGAATGAAGCTTAAAGGAGAATATGTGAATTAAAGAACAGATTGAATTGTTTGTAACCCATATATGTTATGTGATATGTAGGATCAAGCTCCAGGGCAAATCCACAAGTCGATCACTGTGAGTAACATTTGAAATATATTGTTGTCCAATTGCTTATTTCTACGTAAGTTTTGTAAAGTTCGTTAATTTGAACGGTGGACAAAGTTTGATATGAAAGTTTGAAAGGCCTAAAAAGTCAGTTTGATATGAAAGTTTGAAAGGCCTAAAAGGGCCAGTTTGATATGAAAGTTTGAAAGGCCTAAAAGCCCAGATTGATAGGGAAATTTGGAAAGGCCAAAGGCCAGTTTGACATGAATGAATTGGGCCCAAGGCGATCTGATGTATGATGTTCCAATGCATTTTCTATATTTGATATTATTCACTGGGCTTTCGCTCACGCTCATTAATGTGTTTTTAGGTGAGCCAAGAGAGGTCCAGACCCAGCCTCAGTGAAGTCTGTACGGAACAACCGGGTTTTGGAGAGTCAGCCCATGTATCTCACGCACGAGACTCGTCTTCGCCTTTTTGTCATTCGTTCCATGTTTTCATGTTGGCGAAGTCTTTGTATATGTCTGTGTATAGTTTTCATGGGTGACTTAGTTTTGGATAATCCTATTTGTATAGAACCTTATGGTACTGTATTTTTGTTGTGAGTTACTAATGTACATATGTGTGGTTTATTTTAATGTGCCATGTAAGCACAGCTCTATGAAAAAAGTTTTAAATTGCTTCCGTTTGGCCCCCATTAACTCTGTTAAAATACACTTGTTTTGGTTACAGGCCGTAGGTAATCTCATGATTACTGGCCGGTTATGTCCTTAACCGACGGGGGCGGGTTCGGGGTGTGACAGCTGCCTTTGCTCTCCACCTTGTAACAAATTCCAAAAAAGGTTCTATAGGATTTTGGTGGGTTGCTTCAAGCTTTTGAGTGGTCATTTCAATTTGGGTATTGTAAGACTACTGATTGACAAACGTCTCAGCCAATTCTTCCCAGTTCTGCTTCACTTTATCCTCCAACTTGGCATACCAAATGGCAAGGTTCTTCCATATAGAGAGAGTTTTTGAGGCTTAGTCAGACCCATCGGTTTTAGGACGTCCAAGAAAAGCCGGATATGTACCATAAGATCTCCAGACCCGTTGAAACGTTTAATGTGTGGCATTTTGAATCTATTTGGGAGCCTTACGACAGCCTTGGTGTACCCATTCTTAATGTCGGGAATGCAGTTGAATCCTTGTGCCTTTTTGAATTGCCTTTAAAGGTTGACAATTTTTACTAAGGTTGGATCGAGATCATTAGTATTAAGGGGATAAAGCCCCTCATTAGGCTGCACCAGGGGTTTGAAAACTCGAGCTTGAGCTAACCCTTCTCGAGGATCCGGACCTTGCAAATCTTCAGTTGGCGGAGGTAGATCAAAGCTCGGCTGGGGGCTCGGGATTGGATGTGTAGTAGATGCCCCAGATGGGCGTTGTATTTCAGCATTGGTCTCATCTTGCATGGAAATTCCTTGGTTTAACGCCGCTATCATGGCCATAACTTCTTCTGGACTCTGTGTCATCACGGGTCTACTGAGTTGGCAATCGGGAAATGGATGGGTGTAAGCTGAGAGCTAACTGATAAGGATTTTGACCTTATTATACTTGATGTATCTGAACTAGATTAGTCTTGACTGGTTTGACTAGATTGGGCTTTTTTAGAATTGATCTTTTGGCATTGGATGGATCTTTTATGAGCTGGCCTTTTTGGGGTGAAAGGGACTGGGCCTTTGCTGAATGGGGTTTTTTTTTTTTTTTTTCCTGGAATTGGATGGACTATGATGGGAGGCTTTCCAGGTTGGATTGGATTGGGCCTTTGTTGAGTTGGGTATTGCTCCTTCTCTGGCTTAGACAAACCTGACATTAAAAACAAATGCCCTACCAAATCGGGATATCGAGTATGCTGGTCAAAACAAAGCAAGATACAATTTTGGCCTTGGTTCTGGTTTTGCTGAAAATTCACCCATATCAAACACAAACCCCAGGATTTCGACCCAAATCTAATTCCACTACTACAAAAATAGTTAAAGATAACACTTTGACAAAAAAAAATATCTCACTTTTATTAGAAATGTGATAAAAAAATTAGATTGATATTTTAATCACACTTAATTTGATTAAGTGTGATTATATATATATTTTTTAATCACACATTCTAATTAAAGTGTAATTATTTATATATTTTTTAATCACACCTTTTAATTAAAGTGTGATTATATATATATATATATATAATCACACTCCCTAAATAGGTGTGATTGTATAAAATATTCTAATTTGATTTTTAGATAAAATATACAATTCCCAATTTTTATTTTTTATTTTTTTTATTTATTTTTAATAAAAAAAAGCCCCAACACCAAAACAAAAATTTAAAAAAAAAAGAAATTCAAAATACATTTAACTCTTTGGCTACTTCTAATCAAAAGGAAAGTAGAAGGATATGGTTCATCCCAAGGCACATAAGAAAGAGAGAGAGAGAGAGAGAGAGAGAGAAAGAGAGAGAGAGAGAGAGAGAGAAAGAGAGGAGATGGAGTGCGTTCAATACTGTTAGGGGCAGAGTGTTTCTTATGGTCGCCGTCTTCGGAGGCCTCTCTCTCATCACCCCAAACCAACATACACTACAACAAAACTAGATTTTTACGGCTTCATATCAATGACATACAGTAAATGCAAACTATGGTTTCTCAATTTTACGACTTGTTTTTTTTGCATGTCGTAAATAATTTCCCAACCACGACGTGTCTATTGCGTAGATCGTAAACGCTAATAACGAAGATTTTTTTACGATTTGCAATGTTAACCGTAAATAATAAAACTTTCTATGATGTGCATATGGCATGTCATTAATACATTAACTATACATGACACGCATACACTAGTTGTTAAAAATATTAAATATTTCACGATATACAAAAAATTAACCGTTAAAAATTATATTTTTCACGACACACAATAAATCAACCGTTTAAAATTTTAAATTTTTCACGAGACACAATTATCATCATAAAAGGTGCTACTAAAAAAAAAGGCGCTAAATAAAAATTAATTAGCGCCAAAACTAAAAAATACGAAAATTTCAGCCAAAAATATTAAAATTAAAAATTAAAAATTAAAAATTAAGAAATTTTCATCTCTTTCTATAGACTATCTCGCCCCATCTTCATCCCTCATCACCACCGACATCCTTCACTCTCCTACCCTAAACCTTTCTCTCACTCACGCTCACTGATTGACCTTTCTCTTCCTCTTCTCTAACCCTCTTCACCGACCTCATAGCTAGCGCACACTAATCGCCACTTCGGTTGCCCCTGGTGAGTGGAAAAAGAGGGAAGCAACGATGTAATGAAACAAAACGATGAGAGAGTGAAGATTGGAAGGCGGTGTGTTTAGGGTTACAAAGGAGGCCATGGTAGAAGAACGATGATGGCAGTGGAGGAGAGACTCTCCCCTTGTTTTCACAAACAGTCAACTCTCTCTCTCTCTCTCTCTCTCCATCCTTCCCCAGGTATTTATTCCCTCCAATTTTCTTCATATTTATTTGCTTTAGATTACTTGAGATTTGTTGAAATTGCCTATTTTTTTTAAAAAAAAATACTTGATTGCTTCTGTTAATTGCTTCAGATATGTTGATTTATAGCATAATATATGTTGAAATTTCTGTTCAAAATTGGTGAAACAATTTCTGTTTAAAAAAAATATATATTTTAAACAATCTGTTTCTGTAAAGAAATTTTTGCTTTATATTTGTATCCTTTTGTTTTTGTTTTTTTAATGGATTTAAAACTAATATGGGTGAGAGTATTTTGGTATTTTTGATGGTTTCTTAGTAATTTTGATGGGTTTATGATAAATTTTGTTTGGCTTAATTGACATAAATCCTTTTAAACTCTAGATTTATTTTTAGTGGGTTTATGATTTTTTGTGCTAGTTTTGAATGCTGAGTTCAATCTTTTATATTGGTCATTTTGGTATTCTGTTTTCTAGATGTCAACAATTTACAATCTAAGATATTTAGGAGCAAACAATGAAATATTAGCAGGACTTTTGAGAGCTTTATGCTGTGTTTGGTTGGGAAATTTGAAGAGAGATTTGGAAAGGGAAAGGGAAAAGGCGTGTGAAACTAGGTGAAATATAGGCATGTTTTATTGACATTTCACCTACCTTTTCTATTTCCTTTTCCAAATCCCTCCCAAAATCTTCCAACCAAACACAGCATTAAGTGGGTCACGGTCCCTTTTCCACCCGCAGTTCTGCCTTTGTACATGTTACTACTAGAAAAAGGTGAGTTGGAGAGACAGAGAGGCCTCCATAGATGTCAAAATTAGTGAAAGATAAGATGTGTTTGCCTCAAGGCATCAGTAGAGGGGCTATTTATAGATATTTTCACTTTTGGCTTTGGCTGATGAAATGGTGACACCTGTTTTATGTTTATTAAAGTGTTGTAATCTTTTTCCCATCTGGCATCCCCTTGGTGCCTTCCAGTCACTAGCATTACCCTCTTATTCCCCCTAGATGATTAGCTCCTTGAAGCCCCTAGATCAATCCCACAACATAACATGAAAATGGCTTCCTAGTGCTCGCACCTACCCCTTTGATGGACCGTACTAAAAAAATTGTCAATTTGTCTAAGGTTCCATTTCATCTTTTGGATGAATTTGCATCACTAGTCTAGGTGATCATCTGTTGGCTGTGCTAGTACCTGTGATAAGTAGTTGCCTTGTTAAGGTAATGTCTGTGGGTCTTAGTATTAAATTATTTCTTAAATGAATGCACTTTGTTTTGATCATATTAGATGATATGATACTTGGTTATTAGCAACCATTTATTTTCGAATTGTGGTGCTGTAATAAACTTTAGTTTAATGTTTGTGTGTTTGGGCATCCCTGCTGGATCTTCTACATGTTCAAATGCAAAAGATTTTGAAGGGCCCTCTTTTGAATTGTCTAGGCATGGTGCACTACCTCTTAGTGCAGTTTGGATCTTTGGATCCCTTTTGGTGTATATTTTCTTTGGATGGGTGCTATATTTGTGTTTTGTAGTTATTGCACCTTCTCTGGTCTTAGTCTCAAAATTGGCAAAAAAATTCAGGGATCTGCTAGAAGTCGTCTATAGCTTACACAACAAACATGGATAAATATAGTCATTTGGCAATTCAGATACATATCACACAGAGAAAATAATGTTTGCTGTTACATAGACACTCATCTAAATTTTAAAGTAATTATTTTTTAAAACTTTAAAGAATTAAGTAATTATTTTTAAAATTTTTAAAAGAATTACAATTGAGACAGCCCGATATGACTTCTAATTTTAACATTTTTTCTTATTAGATAGATAAAGACATTATCAACAAACTTTCTGTAATAAAGTGTGCACAAGTTTTTCTTTTTAAGGTTGCCATGGGAGGGTTTTTTGGTACATGGCTTTATCTCAACACTCTTGTGTCTGGAGTTTAAAAAGTCTCTCTTGAGTTCTCTCCCTAGAAGCTCACCTGTCCTAGAAAAATAGTTTGGATTCTGGTTACTAGATTTATTTCTTTAGTAACAAATATAAGAAAATAAATAATGTCCAACTCTCAAATAATATTGATCCAGGCATTGTTCAGATTGATTGAGCTTGTAGACGACAAAATTATTATAGACAATATTGATATTTCAACAATTGGTCTTCATGACCTCCGTAGCTGTCTAAGTATTATACCCGAAGATCCAAACTTATTTGAAGGGACCATTAGGGGCAAACTTGATCCCCTCCACGAGCACTCAGATCAAGAAATTTGGCGGGTCAAACTCAACTTGTTTACCTTTTTTGTCTTAATTTTTCTTAGTTTTGAAAAAGAAAATCTTAAACCATAACAGTTCATCCAAGTGAAGTCCATAAAATAAACTGTTAGAAGAAATATCCCAGATATTATGGATGGCCACAACTATTTTAAATTGTTCTGAAATCACAAGTGATCCCATTTTTTGTAATATGAATTCCTTAGTTCCTTCTATAAATTCTTGCCAAAAATTTGTTGTTAAAGTTTGGCTTTCCAGTGTTTATTCCCAAACTTTTTTGCCAGTTTAATGTATGGGCATGTTATGATTACCAGAAAGACTCACCTTCTTAGTGATTCTATTTTGATTTGGAACAGGCACTTGAGAAGTCTCAGCTAGGGGATTTTGTTTGTCGGAAAGAGAAAAAGCTAGATACACCAGGTGTTTGCACTAAATATTTGAGCATTAAATTTAAGCTCTATTATTAATATTACATCTAGAAGCTTTTCTTTTGGCATTTGCCTAAGACCAGTCAATAAATTGTATTTGTCTGAAATTCGTAGTTCTAGAGAATGGAGATAATTGGAGTGTGGGCAGCAACAACTTGTTTCCCTGGGCCGGGCTTTACTAAAACAGGCAAGAATTTTTGTTCTTGATGAAGCCACTGCTTCAGTTGATTCAGCTACAGATAATCTTATCCAGAAGATCATCCGAACAAATTTTAGGGACTGCACCGTGTGCACTATTGCTCATTGTATCCCAACTGTTATTGACAGTGATCTAGTTCTGGTCCTTAGTGAAGGTGCGTACACTAATACTTCCCATTTCTTCTTCCATTTAGTGGACATAAGTGTTGCTGCAATCTGTAGAACTTTTTCCTAAGAATTTTAGTGTATCTTCTTTTGGTAATGTTATTAATTTTCACGAGTATCCAAAAATTTGTCATTTCTTTTTCTTTTAAACTTTGGACAAGATAAATTTAGTAAAAGGCTCTAGAAGAGAAAGTTGCCCTTGTAGATCTATAGGAACAATATCAACAGCCATAACTCTTTAGATATCTTACGATGAATAATTCCCTGACTCAGTATCTTCTTTTTCACTAGTAACAACAGCTAAGCACAATACGTTTGCATTGAATCAAATTTTCCAAGATTCATCAATTTTTTTTGATGTTCTTGAAATGATGAAAACTCAAGGAGATTATAGTATGCAAGAGTATATATCTAATCTTGATCCTCAGGATATGCAGGTGAATATGTATCTTGATTAAGAGTTAACTTTTAGAATGTAAATAAGGGTTTGAGAGAGTTGTTGGTCTTCAAAGTCAAAGTCTTAGGTTTGATATTTTACACTGTAAAAATATTTGAGAGTTTTGCTTCTCATTTCTCAACTTGAGTGTGATGGTATGGCAAGTATTATCTAAAAATGATTCTCTCTCTTTGGCTCACGGTAATTGTTGGAAACTGAATGAAGGCTGTTGCTTCTTGATCCTCTTGTGACTTGTCCCATCAAATTTATTAACATAATGTTTCTACAACTCCAAGGTTGTTTGTACGGTCGATCTTTATTTTTATTTTCAGAGAAGTGTGATTGCTTTGTATTGTTGTTTCAAAATTATTGTGGGTTTGCGCAATCCATATGTTGACATGATTTTGGCTGATGGCATCACACTCCTTTGCAATGATCTTCAGGTAGCTTTACTTGTTTATAACTAATTTCCTTCAAAGTGATTGGTTGATCAGGTTACTGGAATTTTTAGTTTAAATGATTATATGAGGAACATCAAGCATTATGCTTATAATTTTAGTCGCGTGTTATGGCTCATTATAAATTCATTTTTCAATGGTTTTGGAATTTTTATTTCTTTTTAGAAACTAGAATTATCTCTTAACTTGGTTAAATGACATTTGAATATTCGTTTTCTTGGCAGGTGGATCCCCAAGATATTGTTATGGTATGTGGATATATTTAGATACTTTGAACCTGCTACAAATCATAAAACACAAAATGATTTATATAATTACACTGTGCTGAAAATTTTGTCATGTAGGATTAAATTTTTTATCCTTTGATCTGTGATAAACTCTAAAATTTCAAAGAATTTGCAAAATTCCTTGGAAGAGTGTGGTAGAAGTAGTTTTTTATTTTTTATTTTTTTGAAGATCTTAATTTGTTGCAGGAACGAATTGTTTTTTGTGGTTTAAGAAATGGAGCAATTGGTTTTCTACATGTTCATGTCTTGGAATAATTATCAATTTTTAAATGGAGATGACAACTCTCTTCTTGCTATTAATTTGTTTTCTGCATGTTCATGTCTGATGATGAGTTAACTGCTGAAATCTTTTAACACGTGACGTGAGTTTTCCTATATTCAAGGGCACGGATAAAATGTTTGCATAACCCTGTTCCTTCTCCTGATCATTTTGCCCTGTAGTCATAGTTCATATTCAGCTATCTTAAGATATTTGGTCCATTTTTTCCATGAGAATTGATTATTCAATCAAAGTGGTAATTCTTTTTCTATTGAAGTAGGAGATGAAGAGTCAGTGTGATGAGAAAAAGTCCGACTGTATCTTTTGTAAGACTAGAATAGTCTCTATAAATAGTTAGTTTATTCATATGTTCCTGCAGTTTCTGAATTAATTTGTGTTTTCATTTTCAGGTCAGAAATTTCTTAGAGAGATGCAAAATATGGTCAAAGAATTAAAGAACTTAGTTTTTTAAAGTTTTTTCATTTTTTAATATATGTAAGCACAGTTAAATTTTTTTTATTTAATTCCTTTGTATATATTTTTGAACATTTAATTTTCATTTATGAAATATATGACGTTATTTCATTCAATATGTAGTTATGATTCAAAGTATAGTATATAGTGTGTATTACATTCTTCAAATGTGCATATAAAAATAATATTGATTATTTTTCAAATATGTTGAATCCTTTTTTTATCACAGATTTTATTAGTTATTAATCACACTTAAAAGATGTGATCTAAATATTTTTAATCACTTAAAAGGTGTGATCTAAATATTATTAATCACTTTTAAAAGATGTGATCAAATGACCCTTTTTAATAATACTCCCAAAGATCACACTTTAATAAAACTTAAAATGTGTGATTAAAAAAAATACATCCCAAAAAAAAAAAAAAAAAAGTATGATATTTATTTGTTTTTGTAGTAGTGCCACCCTGGTTTTGAGACATGGAGACTTGTGCAATATTTTTATAACGGATTGACTCAGTCACACCGTAACATGATTGAGTCCATGAATGGTGGTAGTTTCTCAAGTCTTAGGGGTGATGTAGGTTATGAGTTTCTTGATAAATTATCTGAGAGCTCCCAGCAATGGGATTTTACTTTTCATAGAGAAAAATTAACTTCATCTAAGAGAGGAGGGTTGTATGAAGTAAAAGACGATTCTGAGATAAAAATAAAATTAGATAGCCTTACCCCCAGTCAGGTATATTGATTTGGGACTTTATTTTTGTGTGTATTATCTGAGAACAAATGCTATTATTATTTCTAGCTGTTTGTGCTTATATTATAGCTTTGAACTTGTTCAGGTGAATGACTTAAGATGTAACTTGAACACAATTAATGCTGCTGCTAGAGAGGTACTTCCTTTTATTTAGGGTTTGAAGTTAGAACTAGTGAGAAATCATTTTCAGTACCTTAATATCATACCCGTTATTATAGGTAAAAGAATCTGCAAAATTGCGTCAAGTAATGCAGACGATTCTTACTATAGGAAATGCATTGAACCAAGGTACTGCTTGAGGTATTATTCTGTATCAAAGCTGAAGGACTTCACTGGAAGGGAGAAGCCTCCAGTTATCACATAAATCTGAGTGTCTGATGTTAATCTCACACAATGAGGCTTCACTAGTAACAATGTGAAAGCAGGTTGGGCATTCCATCTTTTCTCCTGCATGTTTCTCATATTTATATATTTTTTCGTTTGGTGTTGATCGCACAATATGCAGTCGCTCACAGGATGACATTGGAATATTTGTTTTCTTGGCAAGTGGATCCCCAAGATATTGTTATGGTATGTGGATATATTTAGATACTCTGAACCAACTACAAATCATAAAACACAAAATGAATTATATAATTATACTGTTCTGAAAATTTTGTCATGTTTCTCTCGTGTTTTTGGGATGTTGAATTGTGCATTTTGTCTATATATGTCATAAGTTTTCCTTATATGTCCAAAGTTTTCCTTATCTGGCATATGCTTGTTGGCATTTAGGTTTATCCATATGCCAAACTTTAGGATCAGCATCAATTACTCAATTGTTGTGGTAATTAATTCTTGAAGCGTTAGAAAGAATGCTGGAATCCTGAGAGTTTATTTTCCTTCCCTGTATTTCACTATTTCTTTGCCATAGTATTCCTGGAATTAGCAAATAGATTCCTCTTAAAAAAATTCTGATTTATGGGTTATTTTCGAACCTATTGCAGCTATGGAGAAACCTATGATAAGATTCAATATCAACCAAGTGAGCAATTACAGCTATGGAGAAGCTGAGGCATTGACTAATGATATTGAAGAAGAGTGTCAGATTTTTGGGGAGGTCTTGAAGATCAAAAAGATTACTGATAATTTTCAAGATGAGGTTTATCTTCATAACTTCTACTGAATTTTCTCTTTTATGTGAATTTAATTTTTATTTCTGTATTTTGTTGCTTTATAAATTTTTTTTTAAAAAAAAAAACTTTGACTGATTAATGGGAGATTAAGCAGAAATTCCCTGTTGCATTCTGATCCCAGAGTGTGCAACTCATCAATGAACAAAATAATGGCCCTTTTGCTTTGCTTAACTTCATCAACCAGTAAAATGCTGAATAGAATCAAGCGAAGTAATGGGGAAAAGAAGAAAAACATCACATCAATTTCAAACAATAAAATCTAGAGGGAAGAAAATTCCGATAGGTAGTGTTCAGATTTACAGCTATTGAAAATACTTTGTCACTTCCCATCTCTTGGTTTAAAAACTCATCTTCATTGCTTCTATCTGTTGCAGTGAGGAACATTTTGAACATGCTTAGAAGGAGAAGTCTGGTTCTCAATGAAGATGTGGAAGGACAAATTAAGGGTCTATATGAAAAGTGAGTGTCATTTCATACATATGTTTTATATTGCAAATATTTGATCATGAATTGCCATTGTAATTATAACATATACATTTTAATCATGATAGAATTTAAACATATTAAGTTGCATTTTCAATTATTTGACTTGTATTATCAAAGTGATTGAGCAGTTGCTCTTTGAAATTGTAGATGTACTCTCCATTATGTTGGGACTTAGAATTAGTAGCATTAGCAATGATTAATTCCTAAAATTGAAGTGGTTATATATATTTTTCTTTCTGACTCCTCTTTCCTTGAGCTATGTGTAGACGTCCCCGAACGCCCCGGGAGGATGAGTCCCGTTCTGTTCGTTTGTGGGTCACTACAGTTCGGACTCAAATTGTCACGGTTTTAAATCTGAACCAAAGAGTCCAAATCCGACAAATCGTTTGTGAAAATAGATTTTTGTAAAGAAGTGCCAAACATGGACTGCTTTGCCAGATACAGAGTCGTCACCTAAATATTTTTTTTTTATGGGGGAAATTTAGGAAACCCTGACTCGTTTGCCTAAGGCCACATGTCCGTCATCACCAAAGCTGCCTCGGCTCGGGAACTTGGGTACGATTGGGGAAGGTCAGCTATGAGCACTCCCGCTCGCCCGATCCGAAGATCGGCCTCTACTAACCATGATATCTAGTTTTGAAAATACTATGTGTTCTTATTCTGGTTATTAGCCTAGATTTACTATGTGATGTGCACAGCAGACAAGTATAGACTAAGTCGCTTAAATTGGAACAAAACATTTCATATTTGTTTTGAAAACAGTTTGCTACTCGCAAGTAGGCTAAAAGACAGATTTTGCCACCCTCGAGTGGGCTTAAGACTCGCATTCAATGCATTGTTCCAATTTAAGCAACCCAACCTTCATCCACAGGCATTCAGGCAGTTATAACACGAAAGCACATAGCCTCATGGTAAGCATGTTATCATGGCAACACTCACACTCATGCAAGAATGTTAAAACATAAATGCTTATCGAGTACTCCAAGCCAAAACAGAAACTAGTTAGTAATCATATGCATGATCTTCGTTCATGTTAAGATGGTTAGTGCAACACATGCAAGATGCAACTACAATGGGCTCGGCTATTCTAAGATGGCATGTGATGATGCTACAGCTAACACGTATTCAACTTGGAATTGAAATACAATGCAGTTAATATGATGCGCCGAGTTCGGTGCATGCAATACAGATGAATGGATGCAAAACATGCGAGCATAAGGATGCTAATTTAAACATGCCCTAATCTAACCACTGAAAGTGGATAAATAAAAGGGAGAAAGACGTGGGGTTGGAAGACATACACACATCCACGCACACTTATTACACAATTGCCCGTGCTCGGAGGGTCCAAATAATAATACAAATTGAATAAATAATTAACTATCTTAGCTAATTAAATATTACAAAATCTTAATTAATTAAACAAATTAACTAAGCTATGGAAAGTAGTAAAAGGGCCTCGGGAAGAGGGGTGCATGCAAGCTCGGATTGGCTTCGCCCGGAAATCCCTTGCCATGACACATGTTGCCTCTGTTTGCATTGCCCTGCTTCTCTGAAAATTATGCAAGTTTCCAGAACCCTTCTAATCCACCTCATGGATGCTGTGAGAGGCCATCGGCGAAGAGGGGCGGCCATCGGCCACTGGAAAATGGCCATCGACCAGTTGTGAGGCTATCGGCTAAGTATGAATGGCCGGTCGGCACTGAATGTGGTCGGTCGGCCATGTCTTCCTGCAGAATCCTGTTTGACAGCAGCAGAGGACAAACAGAGCATGGCAAAGCATTTTCAAAGCAATGTTTGCACCACCACCCTCCATATCATGTTTAAGATTCAAGGGAGTATGGTACTCGACTCTCGGGCCACCAATCACGCATTTCCATGCATGACGGCCCAAAAGGCCAAGTGTGCAATTTCAATGTAAAATGAAATGCACACAAAACATACAAAGGGACCTCCATCATGTTTGATCAAGAGGGATGGGATGCATGCACAGTGCTATGCATCCTAAGCATGCATACATGCTAATGCAACATGAGGATGCAAGCAAGCTAATGCAATAGGCATACAACTTAAGCAAGTAAACATGCAAGGCATGAAACACCAATGCCAATGACAAACATGCAACAACATGTAGCCTAACAAGTATGCAAGATGGATGAACATGCAACAACATGTCAATAGGCTTATAACCTAAACAATGCAACCATACATGACACACAACAATAGGCAAAATGGAGCAAGCATGCAACAACATGCAAGACACGCATGCAACAACATGCGAGGATGGTCTTAAACCGAAATGGGCAGCTCTCAAATAGGCCCAAATCAGCAGCCAAAATGATGCAATAAAGGCATGAAAACACACACACAAGCATGCATGCACAAGGGCCTAAACATGGAGCATAAGCCATCAACTCTTCAAAGCATGAAAGGGATGGAAAATACAAGTATGCAAGCATGGAAGATGGACTAAAATATGGTCTCCAATTATGCCAAATCATGAGAACAAGCCAAGTAAAGCATGCTAGTGACCCATACACCCAAGGCTAGTAAGCTAGAATGCAAGACGACTATACAAATCATGGCAAACATGATCAAAACAACCAAAATCAGACCTTAAGCATAGCAAAACAATGCTAAAACCCTCTTGGAACCTAACCAAAATCATGCTTAAATGTCATCTCACAACATAATGCATGTTAGGCCAAAACATGGGATTACAAGGCAAGCATATGATGCATGCAAGAGACCATTAAACCAAGCAAAAAAAGATCTAAGGCATGCCAAAATATGACCAAATACCCACTGAAATGTGTCCAATACATGCAAGAATGAGGTGCTTCTTTGAAAAGCTATGAAGGGGGGTTGCTCTAAACATGCAAGAGGCAAGCAAAAATGGACCAAATCAGCTATGGAAAGAGTCTATGCAAGTCCCAAAAGTCACCAAAAAGGGCTTGAACCAAGCCTCCAAATGATCTAAACAGAAGCCCCTTTGTAAGGCAAAAAATGCCAACAAGCAAGACAACAAGGGAGAGGGTCACCCCTCTCTGATTTAGGTCCTCAAAACAGCAAGCCTACCACTGAAAATCCACTGGATTTCAGTGGGTAGGAGGCCAAGCAAAGACAAATACAAAGGCTTCAAGGTATGGCACAAAACAAGGCTGAAACAAGCATGCAAGAGGGTAGACGACCCCCAACAGTAAAATGATCTTAAACAAACATCAAAAGGGCCTCAAAACAAGACTTTTTTCAGTTTATGACAAGGCTCAATTATGCTTGCAAGTATGGCTAAGATATGGATCAAAATAAAGCCTTAAAAGGGAGATGAAGCATACAAGGGGGTCGATGACCTCTAATCGAAAATGTCCTTAAACAAACTTCAAGAGGAGCTCAAAATAAGACCTTTTCAAGTTTATGACAAAGCTCAAAAATGCTTGCAAGTATGGCTAAGCTATGAAGCAAGATAAGCCTTAAAAAGGGAGATGAGTGTGTTACCCTTGCAGCTAAGAACTCCAGCAGCCTTTGGTCCCAAAAACCAGTCCCTTAGTCTCTGAAAACAAGCTCCAAGATGCTTGGATGGATGATGGACAGGTTAGGTTATGAGGTGTAGGGTAATGGAGCCAAGAACCTTACACTTTGAAGCTAAAATGGAGGAGAGATGGAGAGATAGAGAGGGATATATGTGTATATGCCCTAACCAAGTTCTGAACCTGGTATAAGGAGAGGGGAGCCTTCCTTTATAGAGTAAAGGGACTAAAGCTTCTCTTAGAAGCTTCAAACCAAGAGCAAAGATCCTCCATACACGTGTATGGAGGATCCAGTCTCTGCCCTTCAGCTGGCACAACTGGCATCCATTCAATCTGTAGAATACACCGGAAGGTCGTCGACCAACAAAAATGGTCAGTTGGCTACTATAAATGGTCGGCCTGCTACTTATTTGGTCGGCCGGCACATTGTTCTGGTCGGTCGGCACAATGTTTGGTCAGCCGGCAGGAAAAATCTGCTCTGCAGGTTCAACTTCAAACGAGCATAACTCCTTCATATGAACTCCTTTTCAAGTCATTCTTGTGTCCAATTGAAGCCCCAGAAGTAAGCTTTCCAATGGAACCAGCCTTGAATAAAAATTCCAACTGTGCAAAAATTTATGCTTGTTTTGGTGAAGGTTGCTCAGTTTCGGTCCAACCGGGATGATGCCTAACTTCAACCAATCATATCTCCCCCATCCGAACTCGGCATTAAGAGATTCTTGAATGAAAAATGAAACCCCAGAAGTTTTCTTTCCAACGGTGGTAGCCTCATAGCTTAACTTCAAGTGCATAGACAGATAAGCTTGATTTAGCGAGGACCGCTCGACTCTTTCTTAGCGGTTCATACCCAGCTTCTTCCTCAGCTAGGCTTCTTCTCTCTTCTCCTCTTTTCTTCAACTCCAAACCCCCGAACAAGGTGTTTTGAAAGATTTTTCAAAGATTTCATCTCTCTTTCATTCATTTCCACTTTGTCCTTGCTCGGTTTATCAAAAAGCGTATCATTTGACAAAATGTGAGCCTCGGAACATTGTAGAAACTTTATTTCAAAAATGTTTTGAAAGAGAGGGTTTTAAAGTCTAAAAACCATCCAAAATAGCTTTGGTCCAAAATGGGGTGTGGAGTTGAGATTTGTCTCTCTCCTTGCCGAAGAAACTGAATCTTTGCCCTGCACACCTTTCTCCACCAAGTAAACCATCAGTAATGCCCAAGTCTTGAGGGCGGTCAAAAATGGGGTGTCTACACTATGTTATATGATTCTTTAGATTTATTCCATTTTCATAATGTATTTTTTGATTCTAGCGATTTTGAATTAATTTGTGTTTTTATTTTTCAGGTCAGAAATTTCCTGGAGAGATGCACAATATGGTCAAAGAATTCAAGGATTTAGTTTTTTTCATTTTTTAATATATGTAATCACGATTAAAAACTTTTTATTAATTTCTTTGTATATACTTTTGAACATTTAAGTTTCATTTATGGAATATATGGCGTTATTCTATTCAGTTTATGGTTGTGATTCAAAAATATAGTATATATTGTGTATTACATTCTTCAAATGCGCGTACAAAAATAATATTGATTATTCAAAAGGTGTGATTAAAAATGATCCTTTTTAATCACTTTCAAAGATCACACTTTAATAAAATTTAAAAAGTGATTAAAAAATATACATCACACAAAAGAAGTGTGATCTTTATCTGTATTTGTAGTAGTGTTTTGATATGATCCTCAAGTTTGAAAGGAATCGCCTCAAGATTAAGACTCTTTCAGGATTGCATCACGCATTTCCAAAGATTTTACATTTTGCACAAAAGAACTCAAAACACCCTTATGAGAGGTTAGGATTTCCCTGTCCTAGCTTTGGAGTGATTTACAGGTTTGCTACTCAAACAAACGGTATCACATCATCCTGCATATGGGAGAGTATCCTGTCCTAAGTTTGAACAGTTTCTATGGCTTTACTATATGCAACTAGGCCAAATGGTCAAAAAGGGTGTCTCGGCAAGACTACCTAATATACCTCTCACACCTAACACCGAGAAGTGAAAGGAGGATCAAGCGGTACAGCGGTAGTCCAGATCCAAGGGTTGTATTCCCATCATGGCAAAGCCCGTGACCAATCAGCCTTTTGGCAAGTTTTTAGGCAAACCGTTCAAGAATAGCAGATGGCAAACATAGTAACTTAAACACACCAATGAAAATGCAATGCAAAGAAACATATAAGTGTAGATAAAATGTCACTTCATGAAGTTCAGGTCAAGTTCTCTAATTTTCCCAGCACAGTCACCAGAAATTGTAACTCGACTTTTTGCGCTCCTTTTGGAGGACGACTAGCCCTACAGTATCGGACTCTCGCGGTTCTGAATTTGATCTCACAAGTGTAATATGAAATAGATAAACACCAAAGAGTCCCAATCCAACAAATATTTTGGAAAATCAATTTTGAATTAAATTGCCAAAAATGGATTGCTTTTCCAGATACAAAGTCGCCACCTAAATATTTTTGAGAAATTTAAGAAACCCATGACTCGTGCCAAAGGCCACGTGTCCGTCATCACCAAGATTGTCTCGACTCAAGAACTTGGGTATGAGAGGGGCAGGTCATGAATAAAGTATCCCCGCCCATCCGATCAAAGATCGGTCTTTACTAATCATGATATGAATCTTATGTACATTATATGCTCTTGTTCCGGTTTATTGGGTTAGCATTATTATGTGATGCGCACACACACAAGTATAGACCAACTTGCAAGAATTGGAACACTTGATTCATGTTTGTTTTGGAAAGTATTTCGAATATGTACCACTTGAAAAAGTGATCCCATATAAACATTACTCTAATTATTCCAATTCAAGGAATTAGCCTTCATCCACAGGCATTCACGCAAATATAGCACTTAAGCAATTAGCCTCATGGCAAGCATGCTAGACATGGCAATATCAACATGCGATATGCCAAAATGAGTAAAAGCTCACCGAGTACTCCAAGCCAAAAGGGAAATGAGTTACAAAAAAAGCATGATTCCTAACTATGCAATGTGCAATTTACTAGGCTTGGCTACTAATATGGCATATGAATCAAGTTGATAGCATGCGGTCTAAGCACGTATTCAAAGAAGTATTTAAACTAACAATGCAAGTTAGAATGATGCGTCAAGTCTCAGTGCATGCAAAACAAATGGATACAAACATGGGGAATGCTAAACAAAACATGATGCCCTAAAATAACCATCATAACCTAGTAAATAAAAGGGAGAAAGACGTGGGATTGGAAGACATGCACATTATTACAACATTATGCTCTCACGAAGGAGAGTCCGAATGAACTAACTAGCTAACTAGCTAAGCTAAGCTAATTAATTAACTATTACAAAATAAAATGAATAAATAGCTAAACTACTTAACTAATTATTACAAACCGAAGTAATTAACTATTCTAGCTAATTAAAATAATTACAGCACAAGACAAATTAGCTATTCTAACTAATTAAGTATGAAGCCACTATTTTAAGAACAACAGTAATATATACAACACGGATTCCGAGGATCGATGGAAGGCTTATGCATGAATGCGATTTCCTCCCGAAAAGGCACTGTTTCTGCTGCTGAATGTCTCTGTTGCACAGTAGAACACTTGCATTGATTTCCACCTCTAAACTAACTCTATTCTATTGGATTTTGCATTGGTAGTCGGTAGAGGGCCTACCGTCCACTGATGATGGCTTGCCGGCCACTGTTGACAGAACTTCCCTGCTGTAACAGAGAACAAATAGAGGAGAGATAGTGTGTTCTCAAGGGTTTGTTTGCACAACTTACATCTCCTTATCATTTGAACATCTCAAAGGAGTAGTAAGTTTGATTCACAAACCACCAATGGATGCAATTTCATTGCATGATGGCTTATGAATCAAGTGTGCAAGTTCAATGAATGCAACAAAATAAGACTCTCAAAATCACTTTCTTATCATGAAAGATCAAGGGAAGTAGTTGACAATGAATCTTGAACTCTTTCATCACTAATGAGTATGAAACGACTCAAGACTCAAGGGTTTAATTAACGTCAAATTGAACCAAAACAAGTTATTATCTTGCACCTTTTTAGCCTCAATTTTATTACTTCATTTTAGATTACCATCCATTCTTTAATCAATTGAGTCCAAAGGTGAATTTAAGTCCTCTAATGGAAAGAGGACTCAAACCAAGAGTTGCTTTGGGCATGAAAGAGACATCATACCATTGGTAATGAACCCCCAAAGGGCTTAAACCATTAAGCATGACATCTCAATCTCATGCTTAAACAAACAAGTAGTTTGAAACCACTTTCAAAGCAAAACAAAAGCCAAGAAAGGAGGGAGGTTGCAGAGGTGATTAAATGTGAGAACAAGTAAGAAAAACACTAAATAAATGCAACCAACTCAAATAAGGCCTAAAACACCAAACTTATGAGGACAATTACACTACAAGCATGCAATACAAAGCTCAAATGTAATAAACACTTAAAAACAGTGCTAAAATAGGTCTAATACAGTCCTAAAACATGCTGAAATTAAGCTAACAAAAGCTAGAATAATAGGCAAAAACATAGAGCATGCTAGGTTAGTAAACAAAACACAAGGAAGGGAGGCTAACCCCTCTAATTTTGGATTTCAAAAAGTGTTTTTAGCCACTGAAATAACTCTAAAAGTCAGTGTTTAAAAGCTCAAAAAAAGATGACAACAAGGTGGAAAACACAAGGGTAAAGGCCTTGGAATCTAGGAAGAAGGAATGGTGAGCCACCCCTCCCCCCTTATTGGCCTTAAACCACAAGTTTTAGCCCAAAATTTCAGAGTTTATACAGTCCAAAAACATCCCAAAAACAGTACAAAAATGTGTTGGAATGAAGACAAAAGTAGCTAAAATAACAAGCTAAAACATGGAGCAATTTAAGTTAGAAACAAGCCAAAGGAGGGGTGGGTAACCCCTCAATTTTTGGGACTTCAAAACCCAGTTTTTTAGCCTCTGAAAATCTCAGAAAATCAGTGGTATAAAGCTCAAAAAAAGTTGATGAAGAGATAGGAAACACAAGTGCAAAGGCTTAGAGAACAAGGTTCAAAGAAGGGTGATTAACCCCTCTTCCTTTAATAGCCTTAAATCACAAGCTTCAGCCCGTAAAAGTAGTTGAAAAATAGTTCAAAATTAGCAAGAAAAGATAGAAAAGAAGTAGTGCAAAGGTGCTCAAAATTATACCTCTTGAAGAGGAATAACACCTTTGTTCACAAACCAACAAGTTCTCACTCTTAAGGGCTGAAATTTGGACTCAATAATCTCAACAAGGAGAACTCGAATATTGGTTTAGGAAGTGTAGAGAGAGGGTGTATAGGTTGCAAGATAGAGATAGAGAGAGAATTTCAAGTTTTGGCCCTTAAGGATTTTTTTGTAACCTTAAATCATGAAGGAAGGCCCCATATATATAGAAAAACAACCCCTTAAGTCGAAAATATCAAGCTTGGAACAGCTGGAGCTTTTGGGGGATAGCTGGCCAAAAATATCTGTGTTTTTCACTAGTGGCCGGCAGGCCAGAAGTGTGAATTGCCGGCCACCAATGGTGGCCAGCCGGCAAGCCACCAAAAATCTGCTTCTAGGCACAACTTCAAATGAGCATATCTCCTTCATCCAGAGTCGGTTTTAGGTCATTCTTGAGTATGAATTGAAGCCCCGAAAGTCTAATTTCCAATGGTGGTAGCCTCACATATAAATTCTAAGTGTGCAAACAGATAGGCCTATTTTAGTGAAGGTTGCTCATTTCTAGCTTAACCGGATTGATGCCTAACTTCAAACGGTCATATCTCCCTCATCCAGACTCGGCTTTAGGAGATTCTTGAGTCTAAATTAAAGCCCTAGAAGTCCACTTTCCAATGGTGATGGCTTCACAACTAAAGTCCAAGTGTACAAAGAGATAGGCCTAATTTAGTGAAGGCTACTCAATTCTTGTCCTAATAGATTGATGCCTAACTTCTTTCCCAACTAGTTTTCTTCCCTCTCCTCCAATTTTCTCAAACTCCAAACCTCTAAATAAGATGTTTTTAAAGATTTTTCGAAGTGTTCACCCCCCTTTCATTTATTTCCACTTTGTCCTTACTCAGTTTACCGAAAAATGCAATTTTTAATGAAATGCGAGCCTCGGAACATTGTAGAAACATTTTCAAAAATATTTTGAAAGAGAAGGTTTTAAGGTCTAAAATAGTTTTGGTCAAAAATAGTTTTTTTCAAAAAAAATGGGGTGTAAGGTTGGGATTTAGAAGCTCTTCTTGTTGAAGAAATCGAACATTTATACAGCATAACTTTCATCATCGAGTGATAAACCTGAGGCGCCCAAGTCTTAAAGGCGGTCAAAAATGGAGTGTCTACAGTGAT